CTGATAGCCAAAGGCTTCTTGCATACTATTTCCAAAAAAGAAAATGAGGTCAGAGGTACGTGTAGTCTTAATTACCAGAATGTATCTACCTACATGTGTTCCTGCTTCTTAGGTTTATTTATGGGAAAACAAAACAAAACAACTCATTCTTTTCTAAAGATGGTCACTTTCTTTAGGTACCATCTCCATGACATTTGGATTTACTTTTATGATGAAAAACTGTGAACTTGTTCTTTTTCCTTTCTTTCTTCATTTGTATACAAACCATTTCACAGGCAGTGGTCTTTTTTTAATTATAAAGCTTTTTTCAATGGGAGGTAAAACATTAGAAAGAACAAACAAAGACAAATGCAGACAACCACGTGGGAAAAGTTAAATAACATTTGATAGTTAGAAATGTTTACAACAGTATACTCTTAGAAGCTCTTCTAATATTATTAAGCAGATAAATTGATGCTTTCAAAACTTTACACTAGGATGAAGAGGCTTCCTTCAAACATGTCTTAGCACTCCTTATGACTCTCTAAAAAAATAGAAACTTATTTGTCAAGAAGTTCAAGACAATAGCAGAGCGTGGCTGTTTATGTTTTTACATCTACCTGTGTCCTTGACAAGAGCGGTATTAAATAACCCAATATCCAGTGATGTCTTTTTAGAGATGCTTAATATTTGTAATAATCAAATTACTATGACACTGAAGTCAGCAACATATTGCAGGAATGCAAAAGGAATAATTTAAAAAGATATACTTTGTTTGCTATGTCCTGCTTTTTTTCTTAAGAGTCTAAGATGAGCACAAGGCTGAATATTCATGCTTTCAGTTTCTAAAATGCAGCAATTGATAGCAAACCTTTTTGAGTATATTTACAGCTGCAGAGGTTATTTGAAACATCTATCAAATTTTCATGTAGGTGTACACCATAGTTTATAGCTTATATAAGGCCCCTCACTTAAGGATTGTGAAAATGTGAATGTATGTCTTCCCCTTTTTTTATTGTCCTTTTCTGCCAGTTTGGGTTTCACTGCAATTTCATAATCAGCCTTTACTGGAGTGGTTAACAGCAAACCTCACTGAACATATACAGGATTAGATTTCAAACTTCATTTGGTTATTAGTGAGACACACCTGATACCAATATCTCACTTCAGTCATGTAAATAGAAAGAAATGTACTCAGCTAATTAGAATTGCATCAGTATTGTAGAGGTGTGAGATTAGATTTTGTAGATTGAACGGAGTTATCATATGTTTGGATTTAATCCACAACTTTAAGGTACTTGCAAGAGGTATCCAGGGAGGGATCAATTTGCATATGTGTATATTGATGTTTACAAATACACAGAGTCATACGATCCTCAAGGTTGGAAAAGAACTCCAGCATCATAAATTCAACTATAAACCCACCACTGCCATAATCACCACTAAACTATATCCCCAAATGCAACATCCACACACTTTTTGAACACTTCCAGGGATGATGACTCCACCACTTCCCTGGGCCACGTGTTCCAATGTCTAACCACCTTTTCTGTGAAAATTTTTTTCCTAATTTCCTGTCTAAATCTCCCGTGGTGCAGCTTGAGGCCATTTCCTCTTGTCCTGTCACTTGTAACCTGTGAGAAGAGACTGACCCCCACCTCACTACAACCTCCTTTCAGGTAGTTGTAGTGCCATTCTCTGGACTTGCTCCAGCATCTCAACGTCTTTCTTGTAGTGCGGGGCCCAGAACTGAACACAGGATTCGAGGTGCAGCCTCACCAGTGCTGAGTACAGGAGAATGATCACTGTCCTGGTCCTGCTGGCCACACTATTGCTGATACAGGCCAGGATGCCATTGGCCTTCTTGTCACCTGGGCACACTGCTGGCTCATGTTCAGCTACTGTTGACCAACAGTCCCAGGTCCTTTTCCGCTGGGCAACTTTCCAGTCACTCTTCTCCCAGCCTGTAGCACTGCATGAGGTTGTTGCGACTGAAATGTAGGACCAGGTATTTGGCCTTGTTGAACCTCATACAATTGGTTGTGGCCCAATGATCCAGCAACGATAGGAGGGAGCAAAGAAGATGGAGCCAGAGTCTACTTTGAAAGGACAAGAGGTTTTGGACTCAAATTTTAACATAGGAAAATCTATTCAAATGTTGAAAATAACAATTTTTATTTTTTTTTTTTATTTTGTTCACAGGGTGGTCCGGAGAGATTGTGCAGCCTTCATTCTTGGAGGTATTCAAACCCTGACTTGACATGGTCATGAGCAACCTTGTATTGATGACCCTGCCTTGAGTACTGAGGTTGAACTAAACAAATTCTTGACGTGCCTTCCCACTTCATCTATTCCCAGATTCTGTGAGATTTCATTTTGCTCTTAAATACTATCCTCTTATTTGCTTGACCTTGATACTTAAATTTGGAAATTATTAATTGCCAAATTAAGAAAATATACCATTTAAATGTAATTTACTACATGTTCCTGTAATCAGAATTACTATTTAGAAACAATACCTCAAGCTCAATTTTGTGCCATGATTTGGTCTGGGCAGAAAGTTGGACAGGGGTGAAATTAATAGTGATTAATTTATACCATTTATATGGTATGTTCTGAAAATGCTGTGAAAGAAAGGCAGAGATTACATCAAATAGTTCTTACCTGCCTCAGGGCTGTTCTAACTTAGGATAAAAAATAAAACCCAGGCTGAAAGCAGAAACAGATAGGTATCTGAAATAAATGATGATATAATCTTTTGCTCTCTTTGCTGCAAGGTTATCCCAGTGCCTATCAACATTCCTCAGAGATTCACAGTGTCTGTGTTTAAAAGCCACCAAGCATTTCTAACTGAAAGACTTGTTAAAACTATTCCCTACTCTTGACATCATCCAAGAACAGGCCTTTAATCTTGTCAGAAGTTTATGACTAAATAAAAATTTTTAACTAAAATTTTAAGGGATTTGATTGTGGTGAGGTACTTTTGTCCAGAGGGCTGCTAACAGTCAGGGAATTTGGCCTTTAGCTTGAAGACAAAAGGAAAATTGTTATAAAACTTTTCTTCCTTTTCCTGTAACCAAACCAACACCACCAAAAAAAAATCACATATATTAAAATATAAATCAAGTATATTAAAATAATAATTGAAAAATTAATTTGCTTACAGTGGTGGTTTGCTATGTAAGAAGCTGAATTACATTTGTACTAAGTGGAAAAACTTTCATGCATCTGAATTTTCTGAGCAGTACCAGATCAGATTGATATCTCTAGACTGCATCAATAAAACAGAAAGTCCTATTTTATATTTATGTGGTCATTTAAATATATGGGATAATAGGTCAAATATGATCTGAGAGTGAAATGAAATCTGGAGAGCAGAACCAGTACAGGGTCCAGGTTTCTAATCGGCTTCTGTTAAAATCAGAACAGGCCCTTGATTTCTTTTTTATATGGTGCCAAATCCAGCCTGGGAACAAGGGACAATACAGATCATTTTCCACAGACCCCCACAGAGATCAAACCACTCTCTAAAGTAATGCACTGGGACTTAAGTGAAGATTTTAACAAACATGGGCTGTTGTGGTTGCCTGAAATTTCTGACATGCCAAAAGGGAGCAAAGTAAAGGGGATCACATTCACTGCATATCTGCTCAGGCTGTTATCGCAGATTCCTTTGAGGTGCTGAGCCCAGAAACAGAGAAGGCCAACGTATCTTGGAAACTGTAAGCCAGTACTGTATCTTCTAATACACTGTATATGCCTGAGGTCATCCTCCTCAAGGATAACAGCCATGGGACAGCCCACATTTGTCTCTTACTCTCCAAGTCAAGGTGGTCACATGAATGGTAGGCAGCTTCTCCAGATCCTGGTTCATGCCCAGCAATGACCAGGTTGACAATTTAGCAATATGGTGACTGGATTTCAGGGCCTGGGAACACTCCTTGATGCTATTTTCCATAATACAGATGCAGTCTATATATCCCTTTTATGATCAAAGTTTCATCATTTTGATAGCAAGTAAGTTACAAATATAGAACTACAATTCTCCTCTATCCTTAGCATATGCTTAACGTATGTGGGAATGGGATTTGAGACATAAATAAATGCTAGATTGCACACAATTGGAACTGTGATTTGGGCATTATAAAGTTATAAAGAAGAATGCATGTGAATACACAACTTGAAAATGGAAGACAATATTAACAGGAGAAATCAAATGAAATACTTCACTCCAGATCTCCTGTGAAAACTACAGTGATTGTCATCTTGGAGAACCCTAACAGACCTCCTAGATCTATATTGCATCACATGAAGGGCAATTTCATCAGGTCCTTCAGTGCATGGTTACCCCAAAGCACGACTGTCTCTTCTCGATAGTGTTTCTTTATCACTATGGGTTTGTACTGCTAGCTTAACATCACTTTGCTTTACCATTTGCTGGATGATTTGAACTAACAGAAGGAAACAAGAAACATAACCCAGAAATGTGTGCTTTGCTCAGTTACAGACAAGGATGTTAAACCATAATAATGCTCCCCGTCAACAGTGAGATGTTCACATCCTGAAAAAAACAGCTGCATATACAGGTGTCTGCACCAGATGCTTCCCTAAGCACAATGTGATAAAAGTGATTATTCCTCACTCAACAGAGAACAGTCCCTAAGCAGGGTATTTAAAGAAGAGTGATAATGCAGGTAATTAGGAGCCCCATGCTTTACACACAAAGTAATTTTAAGAGGGTGAAGCTGAGAACCATCTGTCTTTATATGTGGGCCTATGTTTTATCTGTGAATTCATCATAACGATGAGCAGTTTTCAGTCTGATTTCTCAAGTAAGATTCTACTTAGAAATTGTTTAAGGATAAATAACTTATCCCTAGTTGTAATAGATGGTACCTTGCCCTGTGACTCCAACGGGAACATGGGCATCAGAATGTAATACCTAGCCAATGGACATTTCTATAAGGAGTGAAGGAATACCCTGGTCTTGCCTCAAAGTATGTATATGAGACTTTTCCTACCTTTGGACTTCCTGTCATGGTAGCTCCTGCCTCGATAATGGTGGCCACTGTCTGTGTACAGATTCTCAAGATCTTCTTGCCAGGAGTCCGGGTTAAAATGTTTGAGCAGATCCTCCACCGTGTCAAATGCAGCAATGGTTTGATCCAGTGCTTCTGCCGTGAGTGTAGCATCAGTCACTGATGGAGAGGGATAGGATACCCCCTAAGAGTGACATATATCTCAGTGCACTTTGAATAAGTTACAACACCACTTAAAACAAATGAAAACAGTTACTGAGAAATTTGTCTCATTATTGAGTGAAACAGCTACTTCGGGCCATCTTTTGAAGTCTTTACCTGGGCCAAGCTTTGTTATACCTGTGTTTTCTTTTTGTAAGGAGAAGAGACACCAAGGAACTCCCAAACAAATCCCAGAGGAGATTCAGGGAGCAAAAACACTGCCAATGGTGGGCTGTCAGCATTTACATCCACTTGTCAAAGGGGATGATGGTGTGCACATTTACAAAAGCATAATGAAAACGTCTTTTGAAACCACTGTTATGGCCATGGACATAGAATGGAGAGGCCAGTTTTGTCAGTTATTTGATAAGAGGCAGATCAGAAACCACAGCAGAGAAAGACAAAGACAATAAGTCTACTGGACTATCTTTCTCTGGTCAACTTGGACAACAAATTTGGCTTGGTTGAAGACTTGAAAAAATGACCCTTTATTCCCCAAAATTAAATGTATTTCAATACACCAACTGACATTTTTTACCAAAAAATACAACTTACTAATCAAACAGAAAAAATATACTTTGATCTTGGGGGTGCTGGTGGATAAGAGGCTTGACATGAGTTGGCAACACGCGTTTGCAGCCCAAAAAGCCAATTGTATCCTGGGCTGCATCAAAAGCAGCGTGGCAGTAGGGTGAGGGGGAAACCTGCCCCTCTACTCCACTCTCGTGAGGCTCCACCTAGAATACTGCATCCAGCTCTAGAGTCCCTAGCATCAAGGAAGGGCATCAACCAGTTGGAGCAAGTTCAGAGAAGAGCTACCAAGATGATTAAAGGGATGGAGGAAAGGCTAGGAGAATTGGAATTGTTCAGCCATGAGAAGGCATCAGGGTGACCTGATTTTGGTCTTCCAATTCCTGAAGAGACCTTACAGGAAAGACAGAGAGAGATTTTTTACAAGGGCATGTAGTGATAGGACAAGGGGGAATGGCTTTAAAATAAAAGAGGGGAGGTTTAGGTTAGATATTAAAAAGAAATTCTTTACTGTGAGGGTGGTGAGACACTGGAACGGGTTACTGAGAGAGGCTGTGGATGCCCCATCTCTGACAGTGCTCACTGTCAAGTGGAGGGAGCTGTGAGCAAGCTGGTCTAGTGGAAAGCATTCCTGCCCACAGCTGAGGTGGAACTAGATGATCTTTAAGGTCCCTTCCAACCCAAGCTATTCTATGCTTCTATGTTCTCAGCAATGTAACAATGGATATTTGGATTGCCAACATATTAATATCCTCACAATTGTATCAAATAATATTATTTCCCATCGGTAAGGGCCAAGCACCATTCTCTGAGTGTTCCCACTGAACCTGTGGTACAACTTAACTTTGACAGAAAGACTGTAGCAATTTCAGTTTTCCAGGAGAGGACTTCAAACATTTTTAAAAATCATTATTTAGAATTACAATATCCACTATCCCAACATCCCTTTTTCCCTGGTCCAAGCACAAAGTCAAATAGTATGCAAATATTATGTAAAATATTTGCAAGAAAAACTATTAATGCAGATCTCTTACTTTTTAAAGGACCACAATCAAAATACATTATTTTGTCCAAGAAGAAGCATAGTAAAGCGCAAGAGTTGTTTGGTCTTACATGTTAAAACATTGGAGGGAAAACCCTAGAAAACTCTTGTCTTATGAAAACCCAGCTCTGAAGTAACGCAGCAGAAATATGCCATTCAGAATTAATAGCTTCCCAAAATATTTTTTTTGCCTCATATCCTAGTTAAGTTAAACTATTAAACTTTGTGATTAACTTCACTCAGTTGGGTAGTAATGGAAAGGTCAACTCATTTGAGTAAGTTCACTCATTTTTTTGCAGGATTGTGTCCTTCAATTCCTATTATAATAATTTTAAATATATATGTCTTTTAAAATAAAACAGTTGTCTCTAATGGTAAGATATATCACAAAATTAACAATCCTTGATATTTTACTGCATTTATTTGCTGAAAGTATGGACAGTCCAAATTATTAAAAACCAGAAAGAGAAGAAATAGAAAACATAACAATAGTGTAGTCAAGAAAGCACAGCTGCACTTTACTGCTTACGACCAATAACCCAAGAAGTTTCAGAGGGCCCACTTGTGACTGCAATGCCTCTCTAGTGCCATGCTAAGTAAGACACAGTGCAGATGCCTGTAAAAATTCATGCCCCCTAAAAGGGAAGACATACCTCAAAGCCTCTCTCCTGACTTCTAATTGGCTTGGAATAGAGACCGCCAGAGAGATGGAAGTCTCAGGAGTTGAAAAGCTCCAGTTGAAAAGCTCACCATTAAAGTGAATACAGCATTGTTATCTAAAGCAATGTTGCAGGAGAGACTATGCAGTGGCCAGCATCATGCAGCGTGCTAACACAGCCTTTTGGGCTACAAAAGGAAAAGGCATCCAAATGCTACTTTCTTACTAAGAAGAGCTCGGTGGGGTTCATGGCAGCCCAACAGGGAAACATCAGGCCCTGATTGCCTTTCAAAAGCGAGGGAGATGGTGCAAGGAGACCAAAGAAACAGTACATAAAAATCAGGCCACAGGTCTGTGGTTTACTCAATGCAAGAGATTTTTTTTTTCGCATGTTCAACTGCACATTTCATTACAGAAATGCAGGTCAGTGAATGTGCAAGGCATTTCAAACTGAGACAGCTAGGTATTCCCCATTTTCTTTTCATATAAAAGCTCCTACTCAAGAGATTTGTGCAACCTCGTTCAAACATAGAAGAAAGCTTAACGTTTTCTCAGTGACAGCCAAATAAAGAGGAATTATTTCAACAGCTCAGATAGCCTCCTGACACCATGTGACAGGTCCAAAAGCAACTTCAAAGCTGCCAACAGAACTGCCTTTTTTTTTGTTCTGCCAAGAATGAGGTGCTGGCTTTAGGAGAGTTTGTGCTCATTGTAATCTGGCTTCTGATACTGCATCCAAAGAGGGAGCAAGAAGAAGAGTGAAATGTAAGAAGCAATGAAGAGCGAAGATTTACCACATTTTGTATCTCTTTTGCATTTCTTAAAAGCACTGAATACATTTCTAATTTAATGGAACATAAAGGTATCTTTTTTTTTTGTCAGTGCTCTTGCCCCTAATTTCTATTCCCCCATTCTTTTCTCTTTCCTATCTCTATTGTGAACCTGACAGACAGTCCAATGTGCATCACACTTTTTTTGTTGGACATAAAACTACTTCAGAAATAATGGAAACTAAACTAATAAGGAGTGATTTTGTTTCCTTTTTATTTTTTTTCCTGGGTTTCCCATGATGGGTTAAAGGCAGAAGTATTTGTTTCAGCTTTCTGAGAAAAACAAACAAACAAACAAAACCCAAACAAAACATACTTCTATAATATGATCTCCAACATGGAATTTGCTCATTCTGAAATTTTCATTCTGAGAGTTTTAATGTGTCTAGATCCTAAAATGAGTCCTTCAGTTGCTTGTGGGTTGGAGAGAGCAATCTTTGAGCATCAGCAGAATCGTATGTCATCAAGACTTATAGGTCTGAGTTTGTCTTTCTGCTCCTCAAGACCAGAGAAGAACCCCTGAATCTTTCTCTCCTGAAGAACTTGGGTGTTTTCAGACTTTTTCCTTGGTGCTTTTGTGAAAAATTGCTCAATCTCCCTACCTTATTTTCCCTGAGGATAAAAAGGACTTGTAGGTGTGACACACACCCAAGTTGAAGAAAATATGTTTTATGAGATAGGGAATGGTGCGGGAAAACCAGTAAAACTGAGGTTCTGTTTCTGGTTGAGCTGTAGGTTTCCAGGTGACCTTGGGCATCAGCTCGCTACCTGTAACATTTTTACTGAATTTCCCTACCTGCAACATGGTAACAATTTTCCAGAAAAAAAGATGTGGAAGATAAACTTAATGTTTCAGTATGAAAAGGATACTGGATTTTGGTTTGGTATATCGTGCGTTTTATGATGTTAAGGAAGTTAACTGACATGGCGGATACCATATCATTGATCTCATTTTCATAGTCATCTGCTGAGGGAGCCCTAGGCTTACATTTTCAAACATCAGCCTACCATATTTTTAAACAAAGTATTCCATCATATAGATATTTTTTTTCCCCAAGCCCATAATAGAATGAAAAATGAGTTTATGTCTTTCAGTAAAACTGTTTTAGCATCTCCTGCTTGGCACATCTAGTAGATCTCAGCCCTACTAACATTACTCCTCAAGACTTTCAGCACAATTAGTTCCAGGCAATCAATGCATCATATCATGAAGGAAAAGTTTCATTTGGAAACTCAAGCGTAAACATAAGTAAGACTAGCTTAACAGCTTCTAATTTTGGCAGTACAGAATTTTCTCTCTACTCACTGCCTAGACTGGATACTGATCGGTAGAATTTGCCTATATTTTATTTACTGCTCCTTCACTGGCTACTTCTGGCAGCTACTGTAACAAAGGTGCTAGCATTAAGCTCTCTTCCATGAATGCTCCAAACATTGGTCTCAAATTTGCTTTTAGCATTTATCCCTACCTCGTGTTTTAAGAGGAATTAACAAGAGCTGTGACATGGTGCTGCCTAGGCAGCAGACCACACAGAAGAGGACTGGTTGTATTATGAATTCTGATGCTACACTGCTGTTCCCAGGTGTTGGGAAAGAGAGGACAGATTTTTTGTCAATGACACAAATCAAATGCAATGAAGAGAAAAATAAAATTTTATACTGGATTATGTGTTATTCTTATTTTTTCTGTTTTATTTTTCTCTGAGTTGCATTTCACTGTTGAATGCAGAGACTTCAGATATAATATTTTATTGGAAACACTTTAAACAAAATTCTCAGTATTCACAACGAAAAGCTAGATCTATGTTCCTACTGTTTTAAATATAGTTTTCTGTTTAGGTCAAGACATTCCACAATTAAAAATTTTAAGTTTATATCCTGTATTTTCATATTGGCAGAATGAGTTTGAAAGCAAGAAATGTTTCCCAATGGCTATCTCACGTGATTACAACAGTTGATGGCATATCCTGAATCTTTTATCTCTAAACCATACTGATTGACTCCAATATGAATTGGATAAACACTTCTTTCATTCTATTCCAAAAGTGAATACATGGTTTCTCCATGCAGGTGCCATTTTTGTGAGTTGGATTCAAGCCATCCTATCAATCCATCCGTGCGCAAAATAGTGAAAAATTACTTACTGAGACAGAGCTTGTGACTGACTCCCAGTTGGTTTCTGAGGCTGCATGCTGGAAATCATCCTAAGGAGAAAAACCCACAGGAAAAATCACTGTTAAGGCAATATCCAAAATTAACTACAGAACCTAGGATATATATTTCAGCATTCAACCTCTGTCACTTTTTCTAACCCTCTTTATTGCAAGAGTCTCTTGCTATGTGTCATTCCTAAATAATGCTATTTCCACTAAGGTTCCTCCCTTTTCATTGTGTATAAACTAGCTCCTTGCAAGCTTGCTGGGACAAGAATAGGTGGTATAATAATAATAATAATAATAATAATAATAATAATAATAATAATAATAGCGATAATACCACCACCAATATGATAATTGCTGCTTTGCATAGCAGGAGCCACTGTGGTCTAGGACATAATATTTATCTTCTTTATATTAAACACCATCTCTGTATCCCTATAATCAGAGTATCAATGCCATTGCCAAAGTGATCTGCTCTGGAAAGAATGTGGACATGCCAATACCCTGGAATTAATTAGTCCAGGTGAAAAGTAAAGTAATCTAATCCATTTGAAAAGTAGTCCTAACATGACTGTATTGCTTTTGGTGCTTGAGCTGAACAGGAGTTGCTCATCTGTACAGGAATGGCACTATGTTCTTTACACCAAAAAACACAGCTGCAGTACATTCACAGTAGAAGTGTCACTGCACCAAACCTCTGGGCATTTATGATTAATTTGAGCACAGAGATGGGTTTCATCTCCTCCACCTCTGGACATCTATAAAGCCAACATCTAAGTGAGTTGTTCTTGTTTCCATTTACAGTCAACAAAACCTGGCATTTTCAGGGTGAAAATCATCTGATAAACTGTTTTAGAAACTTAATTTGGAATGACATTGCATCCTAAAAAAGCATTTTTGTCTCCATTGTCTCTATAAAAGGGACATGGGAGGATGAGCTTAGATATCGATGTCAAAACTGTAGATATTGACATGTGGGCACCTAAATCCCAATCCACTTGTCTGACCAGTGATGAGAAATCACTACTTAAATAATGAAGAAGCCATTTCTTTAACGTTTTGGTGGTTTTACACATTTCCAACTGGAATAACTAAACCATGAAAAATGGAAAAAAAGGCAGCATTACAGAATGGCCATTAAACACACACATGCAGTGAATAGCTAATGATCAACATGATTATGCAGGTAAGGAAAGTGGACTTAAGTGACAGCATACAGAGATTTTAATTTCTAATAATCAAATTTATAATGAAAAGATTTAATTGGTTCACAATTTTGTCCCAACACAGTATCTCCTAAGCTTTTTTTTAAGCTAGCAACTGAAGGAGAAAATGGAAGGTAGTTGCTCAATTGATGTTCACTAGACTTGATCCTGCATTGGATCATACATATATGCATATATTATTTCTTAGGAATGGAAAACAGAAAATTGATCTCATAATCTGCTGATTCATCAATAAAATTTTCCTTTACTCAAGAAGGAACTGCTGTCAGATCCAGAATCAATACACATGGCTTTTTAATGTTTTTCATTTGCTATAGAAAAATATTCAAATATCTCAAAAGTCACAAGATTGTGTATTCAATATCGCTAGTGTTTCTTTTTAAAATGTTCCTTTCTGTCAAATCTGAAACAGCAAAACTGTAGTGATTTCTTCAGTACTTAAGATTAGCAGAAATTAAGAAACCCCTTCACTAAGTGACCTTGAAACTGCAGGGCTATTAAAAGGCTAGTAATTAAGTGGTCATTTTTGTCTAAGAATACAGAAGCAAAATATTTTAGGTACACTACTTCAAAGCAGATTTTTTTTTCTTGAAAACAATAAAAAGATCTGCAAAAGCTATGATCAGGTCATAAGTAATTCTGAATGTGGTTACCTTGGCCACATTCTCTTCACATTTAGTTGCCCAGTTCTTGAGAAGCCACGACTTAAATAAAAATGGATTTGAAAATCTCATGAATCCTCTGGTAATGGCTGCTAGTTGCAAAATTTGGAAATCATTTCCTCTCAGTCATTAGCTGCCATTTAGCACTTCCAGAAAAAGAACTAAAGTGGCATTGAGTTCTGAGGCATTATTTAAACAGGAACAATTTGTCTCATTGAATGTTTGGAGAAGACTGTAGACAACAAGTAATTTTGTGTTCAAAGTAATAGTCCCACTGTGTTATCTAACTGTAGATATCAAAAATATTTCTTTAGCCTGATTCTTTGAGTTGGTTGATGCCAGGAAACCCCTCCAAAATCCTGAGATAGACACGTGTACCACCTGCTTCTTGGATCTCAAACCTTATGACTGCACATTTTGACTCTGTAATTATATTCGATCTGCATAAACTATTCACAACCCTATGGCTTTTTTCCACCATCAATCAAAGCAGCTGCAGTCATTCTTGGCTTCTTGGAGCTTTCAACCTCTACAGTTTAAAGATTTTATTATCTATGGCTTCTGCTTGCAGCTATTTCAAGTAATGATATTAAAGTAGTTCTCATCATTACAAAAGTCTCCACTCTTTTCTCACCATTGTCCATAGTACAACCTGAAGGACATATCTATTTTCAGTGCTATCTATTCAATTTATACTATCTTGTTTATGAAAATTTGCCTTTGATCACCTTGTTTGTTGTTTTCTTCATTACTTAACACTAAACTTTTTAGTCAAAACATTAAAAAAAACAAAACCAAAAACCCCCAAACCCAAAAAACAGAATCTCCACATCTTTTCTAACCTAATACTGGAAAAACAGGTTTGGCTACGTCACCCTGAAAACAGTGCTTCTATTCTTGTATGTGTCAAGGTAACATAACAGTACTGCATGAGACTTCAACAAAGCATTGTATTAACTATTCTACAAGCAGCAAAATTACAGGCAAAACAACAGGACTACCAATCACCTTCTGATGGTAGCTACTTCTACTGAAGAAAAACGACTTCTAAACCTCAGCTTCCAAAATTACACTTCAGCAAGACAAATACTGAGTCAGTCCTTAGAGTTAAATATGTACGGACATTGATATATTGTTCTTGGCTCTGTTTCAGACAAAGAAAAGCTACTCTCTCCTTCACAGATTGGCTTTGCCTATAGCCTGTCTCCCACCATTGATCACCAATAAGTGACAAGGAGTCACAGGGAATACTCTGTGTTTCACCTAGAGCTTTCCCAAGTGGAGATCATGAGGCAAAATCACAGCTATTGATATATGAGACTGCAGAGCCAGATAGCACTGGTTGCTGAGGAAGATGATTCGCAGCCTGGGGGTCCATGACCTGCAGCAGCACAAGCTCTGCTGGGTTGAAGCCATCGGAATTGGCGGAAGCTGTAGGAACAGACAGGCATCAGGAAAACACCAGGGATGAGGATGAGAAGCTTGCCAGTTTGAGAAGCATATTGTCCCTAACTCACTTTGCTGTACCACCCATGTGGTAAAACGTGAGTCCTTCCAGCCATGCTGGATTACTGCCTGGTCCTCAAATTAAAAGCAAGAAGCACTTTCTCATATTTCTGTGATTCTTCATTTTTTACATAGTTTATCTCTATAGACCAGTCTTTTGGCATCTTGGTACATGACATCTATGAGGCAGGATGCCTGGGATAGGCTACAGCTGCCACAGGACAGGCACAGCACACTGGCAGCTCTCTCCAGGGGAAAGAAGCAGCCCCATAGCTCTATGAACTTCTTTCTAAACTCCTTCTCTTAATCTGTAGGTCTGTGAGGTGAGTGGACAAGGTTTGGTAAAAGATTGTTTATCTGACAAAACAACTATGGCTAGTGAAAGCTGAGGTGATACTCTCCACTTCAAGGAGTGGGAAAGGTTCTCAAAAGAGTTGTGATTAAGCATCCCTGATCCTAAGACAGCATCCTTAACTGATGCTTAGGCCCTACTGGTACAAGAAGGTCCTCTCCTGAAGGAGCAACCTTCTCTACTGTGACCTTCTAATCAGATGACAAGTAAGGGGTGAAGGGCAAAAATGAAGGCATGTTCTTGGAGTAAGTAAACATGAGAAAGAGGAAGAATGAAGCAAACTAAGGAAAAATTAAGACAGAGAAGCTGAAGAGCTGGGCTCTGTCTGTGGTCACCCCATTTGTGGTATTTAGACATCATAAACTATAAACCAAAGAGAAGCAGTTTCTAGAAATTTGCAGAAGAACAGAGTTAAGGGATGAACTGAGGCACAGAGCAGATCCTGAAAAACCAAATCGGGGTGAAATGGGGTACATTCAAAAAGGTCCAGTACAGAAACAAAAAGTTGTGAACTCTCCACGGAATGTAAGAATTAGAGACTAAGGACAATGGAAGGTCTGTAAAGAAAAACTAGAGTAAATTACAACTTGAAGAAAAAAAAGGCAAAATTATCCTACTGTTTAGATTAATAAAAGGAAACTCAATCATACCTATTTTTGAATAATGGTCAACATTCAGAGCTACTTGCAAACAAGTAGCTGATAAACTTGTATTTGTTGATAGTAATAACAAATTATAATAATCTGGAAATATTTATTTTATTTTTCCTGCAACAAGCAATAGTACCAATATTTTCTCCAAGAATTGAATTTATAGATATTACATTTTATATAAAAAGTGACAGGTATTTCAAGCAAATAAACCCCAAACTCAGAACCTAGTTTGTAACAGAAATGGTGTTAAGTAAGTTAGAAGCAAAATAAAAGTCATAGTTCCATTCAAAAAAGTGCTGTGACACATACTCAAGTTTGTACACTTCAACATACTAATTAAAATTTCTCATGTAGCATTTTAGTACACTCCAATTTCTATTCTTAAATATAAATAAAAATCATATAGATGTACACTTTGAAGTACTTTTTCTTTTACCATACTTTCATTTCATCACATTGCTAGACCTTAGTTTAATATTAGAATGGCATTTATTAGCACTTTTCCTAAGGATGCAGTAAGATACCTACAGCAGGCTACTCATTAGGGCACCAGATGCTGCATTTTTCTTACAGTAATGGTCAAACCACTGCTCTGCTCAGCTCTGGTGACAAGACATCAAAATAAAAGGTACTGAATTCGGAAAGC